CAGAGCAAGGTTTTCATCACGGATCTTCGAGATAAGCGTTAAATAAATGGATGTAAATACGGGCGGAAATTTGGATAGAGTTACAGAATATGGGTGAGGATAAGGAACTTATCGAGAGCATAAAGCAGGAGGAAGCAAAGACTAAATTGGCATTTACCAGGATAAAGAACAAGCTGCTGGTGGACCTTTTAGACGAGGAAGATTATCCGAGTCGGCGGGAAGCTAAAGAAGTTTGTAAAGAACTTAGTGTTGCACAGGAACTCGCTATGGAGACAATGGAACTGTTTTCGGATCGGACAAGTATTTGCGCCTTAAAAGAAAAAGATAAACACATTTAATTATTGGCCCTTATCATATAAGGGGAAAAATTACTGAATTGTGATTGATCAAGATAGAGGGCATTTTTTCTTAATTTTTGAAATTGCCCCGGGCAAAATTACTTGAAAACGATTGGCTGAAAATCTCTTAGCAACGGCTGCCAAAGTAAAGAAATTTCTGTTTGCTTTGTAACAATGGCGTCCCGTTTTGGGCGAGATCAGTAAGAAAACATTTTGCCCCTTATATTATGAAGAAGTAATCACATGGTTCCTCGTAAAATTAAGGATTAATATCACTTGTGTTTTAGGAAGTTGCAGAAATTTCCCTCGTCGCTGCGCGACTCGGGCAATTTCAGCAACTTCCCAAAACATGTGTGATATTAATACTTAATTTTACTTGGCCCATACCATTACCTATACTAAAATAACAACATATCGAAATGAAATTGCTTATTTCATCATTTTAAAAGACTGGCAAATAAGTGTCGCCTTACCGTATTGTCAAATAGTGATGTAGCCGATGACTTTGTGTTTGCCGACAAAATTCACTTTTAAGACTAATATTTGAACTTAAATTTCACTTTACTAATCGAAATAATATGCTAATCTGATTGCGGCCCACATTTAATTGGCGAGTGGTTAGGCGGCAGTGGCTACTCGGAATAATCAAATAGAATTTGATAGGACATCTCCGGATATAGATAACCTGCAGGAAAATAAAAACGAATATAGAATAATGTCGACTACAAATTTCATAAGAATTTGATCAACTACGAAAACATTGGAACTGATATGTTCTCCCTTAAGCCCTTTGGTTGGATGGCCTCAAACAAATATAGTTTCTTTCGTAGCAGTTAACATATTCCTCTTCATCCCAGCATTTCTTGGAAATTCTCTCATCCTTGTTGCTCTTTACAAGGAATCTTCCCTTTATCGACCGTCCAAACTCTTGTATTGTTGTTTGGCAGCAACTGATCCCTCTGGTTGGTGTTTTTTGCCAGCCCCTCACTGCTACTTATTGGATGCCCGTAGTTCACGAACACCGGAGTCTTTGTCGATACTTAGGCTATTCAAACTACATAAGCCATGCGTTATGTGGAGTGTCTCTGTTGACGATGGCGGCCATAAGCGTGGACAGACTTCTTGCCTTGTTGTTGGGTCTGAGATACAGACCCAACAACAAGGCAAGAAGATACATGTAACTTTGAAGCGCACCTACATAATTGTAGCTACCTTTTGGGTTTTTTCTCTCGTCGGAGCTTTCTTAAACACCATAATTGATCATCGTATAATGTCTTTCTGCGCTTTCATATTCATACCACTTTGCATGATTATTTCACTGGCCTCCTACACAAAGAGTTTTTGCACTCTCAGGTATCAACAGACTCAAGTACACAATCATGTTTAACAACAGCCGAGCCAACCAGTTGCACTAAACATGGCAGTGACCAGCGCACTATGGGTGTAGTTAGCATTAATTGTTTGTTATGCGCCATTCTTTACGGTGGCACTGGCAATCGCTCATGGTACATCATCTTCATCACACTTGGTCGTCATATTGCAAATAACAACTGTATTAATTTACTTTAACTCGACCTTAAATCCGTTTCTTTACTCCTGGAAGATTAGTGAAGTAAGGCAATCAGTAAAGCAGACAATCAGACGAGCACTTCGCTTTCCATGGACTTAGATCGCTTCTTGGCCACGCTCGAAGGAGTATTTTCAAAGCTGAGTCATACATTCCCGCCTAGAGAACCAAGTAAAGTCGCCATCTTAAACCTTTTATTTCCAGTAGCTTTCCATGGCCGACAATGACTCAGATCATAACCACATACAGATAATAGGGACACTTGAGTACCACATCATCAACGAAAAGTCATTAAGGTAGAGCGGAATAATTTCCGCCCTTTGAAATAACAACACCACAGACGCCTCTCTATTTTTCTCTTCTCGCTATTTCTTTCCTGAGGCACCCGACAACTCAAAGGGAAAAATCACTTTTTTGACACGACAGACAACTTAGCAGTTTAAGTAATAGAAATATTTAAGTTAGAAACATAAAATCCCGCAAAAATGAAAATGGTTGATCTAAAAGGAAACTCTGCAACAACCACTGAAGACCAATTTTATTTCACATCCTTTAGTAAACTCAGTTAACACATGCAAGTAACAAAACATCGTTAAATATTAATAAGCATTATGTTTAAAGGGAAAAACAATATTGTACGAGAAATGTTGTCGACTGTCGAAAAATTTTCAATGTATCCAGTTTTATATTTAATGTATCTGGTGTATGTTTAAGTTGTCTCTAAGTTTTATTAGTTCTATGCTTACCACGTCCTAGCGATTAGCTGTTCTTAATTTTCCCTTGTTTTTACAAACCTTTATTGAAATTCATAATTAACCACAATGCAGAAAAAGATCATTTACTCTAAAATGATTTACCCAAAGGAATGACAGTTGGCTGAATGTATTGCTTCTTTGTCTCTCAAAAGACTGATAAAAGAGAGTTTCCTTATCATACAGTCAAGCAAAAATGTAACCGGCCGATGTCTTCCTTTTGCTAAGGGAATTAAATGTCAGTGATGATTTGAATAAACAGCTACAAAGAAAGTGAAAACATATAGAATTATGTCGACAACGAATTTCACTAGGGGTGGAACACAGACCAAAACAATTTTAGAAGTGCTATGCTGCCCCGCTTTGGTGGGCTTCAACAGCTTGGATCGGTAATTCCTTTCGCAGCGGTCAATATTGAAGGTAATGTATCCACGAGCTTTTTAGTTTCTTTTGATTTCCCTTCTGAAAAATGACCAACAGCTAGGGGATTAGAGAGGTTACCATGTTGACAGTTTCCTTTCAAACTTAAGGTCGAAGAAAAGGGTCTTCTCTGATCGCCCTGGTATGAAAAATCTCATTGGTGAAGTTTTCATATTTTTTCTGTGAACTGACTAAAAACATATTGTAACTTATAGCAAGAGCGAATTCCGTAAGCTTCATTATTGCAGCGTGATCAACCTAGCCCATCGCTGTGCAGACGGGTGGTCTATCTAAAAATCAGTTCTAGCATGCGGAGACCGTCAAATAAAAGAAAATTGGAGAACAACAGAACGATGTTCAAAACATGTGTCCTAGACCAAGTTCTTGAGCAAAAAATAAAAGAAGAATTGTTTTCAAAGGGAAGTCGAGAGGATCGCTCTCAGCGAAAGCGGCACTTAACAACTATTCACAGAAGTGGAGGGGGCTGTGTCGCATGAATAAATAGTTTATTCATGCAACGATTACAATATTACCTAGCGCAAATCCCGCGCGAAAATGCACGGATTTGAATAACAAAGAATATACGAGTTTGATTAGCCAATTAGAGCGCACCTTCAACGCTATCCACTACTTTAGTTTATATTTAGTAAAATCTACACTATACTCAAATAATCAAGGGAATGTTAAGGAATCCAATTCGCTGCTAATAGTGAGAAATTAGGAATAACTAAAAGGTAATTACTATGAAATGCGGGATTATACGAGGAAACAATAGCGGTTTCCAAAGGTTAAACCTCTGCATAGAGTTTATACAGTG